CTCAATCATAAGTGTTAAAGTATCAAACCACAATACTCACGGCCCTGAAGTTCAACTCATAAGAATTCACCTCCTAAATACCGAGATGACCATAATGCGTACACGAGCACTGGTCACAAAATGAGGACATCAAGACTCCTCACTTATCAAACAGAACCGACTCATATGCTATGGATCCAATACATTACGATCTAAATTATATTACCTCAATGAATGACCCATGCACTTAAACATGTGCATCTTAAATAAAGATGCAATAATGCAAATCATGCACAAACTCAATGTTGAACAAATTAAACCGGACAAATGTTCCCAAAACTCACCAGAGTCCAAACAAATCCAATAATTCGACGACTCGATTGACTATTCAATAAAAGTCAGTATAACCCAATAAAATACAAATACTCAATGTTATACAAATTAGCCCCTAAAAAATGTGAATATCTTTGTTATCAATTCAAATGTTGGGCAAAGTCCCAAAATATACTAATGGCTTCAAGGAAACATTTATTGGCACCAAAATATGACCAACTAATCAACCATATATATTTTTCAAATGATTTGTAAACTCGAAATACAAAAAGTGTAGTAACATCATATAATCCCAAATGAGGAATAAATCATTAAAATCTACACATTTTATGATTTCATATGTCCAAAAACTCCAAATATTTGTAGTTCTCAATATTTTATTAAACCAAATATGCAAAATACCCCAATTTCATCAAGTACCCAACAACATTTTATATATCTTAAGGAAAAAAGACTCCAAAATACATATTTTTGGCATGTCCAAAGGTTTCACAAAGCAACTTGAACTCACCTTGCTAAGTTAGGTTAAACATAGTGTTCGAACCTGATGTTTGGCTCCCATTGGTGAAGACTTTAGATTCCCAAGCTAAACTTTCGGATCTATGATGCAAAGCATCTCAAGAACACCTCATTTACTCCAAAAACACATAAACAAAGAAGTCCAAGAGGAGAACGAGGATTGAGGTGAAAAGAACCAAACTCTAGGTTAAGAAATGACTTATTAGAAGCTTACTTTTCAACTTCTAAGAACCACAAATCTTCAAGGAAACTTCAATCTTCTTTGTTTTCCCCTTGAAGATCTTTAAAAAACGAAACCATAGCCTCCAAAATCGCTAAAAATCAAAGGAGTGAAGGAGATACGATCAAATGAAGAAAACCCTCAAAAATCGCATTTTATGCAAATCAGAGTCCCCATGCGACCTTGTCTGCGACCTAAGTCACATGGCAAGTCGCCTGAGACTTCACCTCTCAAAACAATATGCCACACGACCTGGGAGGCGACCTAGGGTCGTGTGCCAGTTGCGCTAGTCCCCATTTCACACAAATATCATTTTTCAAGTTTGATTCGAATCCCACCTTCTTTAATATGATTTTACCTAAAATATCTTTATAGATTATTATTTAAATGCCCTTAAATAATATGTTAATAACAATCAGAAGCTCAAAATTCGGAGGTTTTACACCTTAAGAGAGCCAAGCTAATAGTGTTAGCAACACAGATCAAAACCAGACCAGCATACAAACTATAATAACTAATTTAGAATTAAAAATATATATAAAAACCATAACTAAGAAAAATGAAAATATAAATATATTATTTGTATTATCGATAAAATAGAAAAATAATTTTTTACAGAAAAGAAAAAGAAAAAAGAAAAGTTTAGGAAAAGTCAAAGAAATGGCGGGTCCGGAGTTTGACATGTGAGAGGCGTGCTTAGAGGGCGTCAGTTCTTGTGGTCCAAGTAACCATACGAGGACACGTGTCATAACCAAACAACCATACCCAAATCCAAATTCTTACGCACTTATAAACATTATGTTAAAATAAATATATTTTAATGATTTTAAAATTATTTTTCCCAAATAAATAATAGAAGATGAAAATCTATAAAATTTTAATTTATAAAATATTTTAATAATATAATTACTATAATAAAATAGTCGTCTGAAATGAATATAATTTCTTCTGAAAAGTTCTTTTTTTGATATAGTCGTCTAAGGAGGAATAAAAATCCCCTTGTGGTTACGGAGGTTCAAATACGATAACTCAGGGTTATCTGCAAAGCAGGTGATCGTTCTGAAATTAATCGACTCGTATAACGGGTTTGATAATAAATAAAAATACTGATTGTAAATAAATAAATAACATAAAAAATTTGAATTAAATACATTATCTAATTTTTTATTGTATTAAATAATATAAGGATATTTCATTATAAATTAAATATTTATAAAATTACATATCAAATCAACAATCATTAATTAATACAAAATTGCCTACGTTTTCTTTTTGAAATTTACATTAAAAACAAAATATAGAAATAAAAAATGATAATATTAAATAGAAATAATGACTCATTAATATTGTAGGTACTTCTTAAAGTCAAGCGTTGCATTAGAAATATGGTTGAAGCAGTCCCTACTCCCTAGTAATGCCGCGTTGCCACCGGATATAGCCGGTAAATATTTAAACCTGCATACATGTCACCCCATTTATCATAATAAATTAAATTTTGTACCCTCTACCTAAATTATATGCTACATCAAATTTAAATAATATTTATATTTTATTGTGTTTTTGTCAACTATATATATATTTTTTATATTTTACATAAATCACCTTTTAAATATTTTTAGATTATTTTATAATGTCATCTAGTTCGTCAGTTAGTTTTAAAAAATATGACTAATTATTAGTTAACAGATAGCTTTTCAGCTAACAGTTAACTTATTACTCTGTATTTTTTATTAACCTGGATATCCAACTCGTTTTGTGAGCTGACTAATCCCAGTATAACTACCTGTTTTGCAGGTAGTGCGGAGTCACCGTATTTGAACCTTCGTGACCATAAGGGGATTTTTGTTCTCTATTGGATTTGAACCTGGAACCTCCCGACACTTTTGACCTTTGGAGTCAAATTCAACCCAATTAGGCACCACCCTTGTGGTTTTATTACTCTGTCTTTTAAAACATAGCATAATTGTTTTTAGTCAATATTTTGTTTAGTAAATAATTGTCTTCCAGTTCAAAAAAATCTACCAACCAAGATAATAATATCATTAGCGGAAAGTTTAACTAATATTAACATCACCCAAAATTGCCGATGATTCTGAGATACCCTTTGGCAAGGAGCAAACACATTATCAGTCGATTCATATCGTTTATGATTAAACCTATGATGCCCGTATGTTATTATATATACGAATTTACTTTTAGATATTAACGGATGGCATAAGTTATGGTGCATGAACTAGATGTATAATACACGATGAAAATGAATTAGGCTTAAAATCTATAATACAATATAATTGATTTCTATAATATTTTTGAAATCAAAAACTTATTGGTTACGATAATTTTGGTCTACAAACATTCCCAAATTTTAAATTGCTAAAAGTTAATGCTTCTGAAATACTGATTTATAGGTTTCCAAATTTTATCTTATTATTGAAAGACATTTAATACACCTGATTATTAATAACAAAAAATTTATATTAGATTTTGTGTCCGTATTTAAGTCACTGATGTTTTATTGGTAAAATATTAGTTTTTTTGTTTAATATAGCATCAAATGTTAATAATATGTTTCGTTAATGATACAAATGATATGCTATATATATATATATATATATATAAATAAATAAGAGAGAAAATAAAACAATTAAACAAAGAAAAAAAGCAAATAAACACTAATAACCATATATAGAAGGAATAAAATCACTTGTCATAAAAAAAATATAGCATCTTCGACCAAACATATCATATATTGACATTTTATTCATGATTTTAAAAGATATTCGATAGAGGAGGTATTCAGTCTTTTATAAGATAACTTTTATTCTTCTTCTCAACTGATATGGGATCTAATAATCCACCTCTCAGGAGCTTATCGTCCTCCCTGACTCACGAGTCCGATTCCCCTCTAATGATATTTGTAGCTTCCTAATAGCCCAAAGTTGCAACCCCTAATGTCTTCATCAGGTATTTTTAGGATCCTCCTCCATCTTAATCGACGATGTAGGATTTGCCTAAGATGTTATAAACATCCTCCTAAATGACTCATCATGCTCAATGAGTTATGCCCCACCATTTCAATGGTACAACGATAAGCTCCAATACCATTTGCAATGCCTCATTGCTTACACCTGCAGACTAATCCAAAAGCTTCTAATTCCACATAAAACCGTAGTGGTAGTTATTGTTAGCCCCAACTTTAAGCTTATAAGAAGCTCATAAATCTACTTCTATATTCATGTGGGACGAGTTGTTACAAAAAATACAATAACAAATTTATACACATATTTAAAAAGCCAAAATAAAAATTATAAAACAGTAACTCGGCTGACCAATTGGAAGCCATCACATGACATTGAAAATTCAAAAATAAAAAAGAAATCCAAAAATGGCCCCATTAACCGGTACGACTAATTGGTCCATGCCTAACGTGTCCCTCCCTAAATTGGTGTAACTAGTCGGGACTTGTTAATACTTTTCTAATTACTCCTTGATCATGGAATGTCTGGTTATAGAAATTGGTCACTTTTTCTCGATCTCTATTCTGGTATCGGTAATAAACACTTTTAAGTGTTTTGATAAATAATTTATATCGGTATCAAACCGATAATAAGAAATTTTTGAAAAAATTAAACTCTTTTGACTTATAATAAATTGATAAGTGTTTTTATAAAATAACAATTTTAAAATACTACTATAAAAATATTATTTGTTATATATATATATGAAAGTATATATATGAAAAAGGTAGTAATTGGTTAAAATGAAAATACAAGAAATAAAAATAGTTTCATTGATAATATCGCTTTTGTAGTATTGTTGTCTTCATGTATGTGTGAACACAGATAGATATATTGGAACAATCTATGCCTTCCTTTGCGCCCTTTCTCTCTCTTCTCTTTCTCTCCCTCTCTCTCTCTCTCTCTCTCTCTCTCTCTAGACCAAGCTCAGCTCGGTAGCCATGGCGTTCCACGACAACATCTCTCACGAAATGGCTCTTCAACACTATGCTGACCAACACCAGTTGACGGAGAGCGTCGAGGTTCTCAGAGGAATACTACCATCAGATCATCACCACCACATCGCCCACTCCTCTTCCTCTCCTGATGCTGGCCCTAAGACTTCCCAGTCTCCGCCGCCTACATGGCTAAACAGCGCAATTCTCCGGCAACAGAACCACCACTACGCCGGGGACGGCAGCGGCGGCAGCTTCCTCCACTTGCAAACCACCAATTCCGACTCATCCAATTCCAACAACCACTGGCTATCTCCTCGGCCTATTGATAACGATGACAGTAATCGTGAATCGATGTTTGTTTCTGCGATAAATAGTGACAATAATATTGATGATAATGCTATGAAAGTGAGTCAACGGCAGAGTGAGAGCGACGGAAATGGAGGTAATCACGAGAGAGATTGGGAATTTGCAAAGTGTAAGGCGGATATACTATCGCATCCGATGTACGATCAGCTATTATCGGCGCATGTCTCTTGCTTGAGAATTGCGACACCGGTGGATCAGTTGCCGAGGATCGATGCGCAGTTGGCTCAATCTCAGCAAGTTATATCAAAGTACTCTGTTTTTGGCAATCATAATCAGCCTCTTGATGATAAGGATCTCAATCAATTCATGGTAACTACTTCCACTTTCTATACGTCTCTATATGACTCATTGTTTGTTTGGTAGGTTCCCTCAATTAGAGACTCGTCAAATTCGGTACCACCGAGGGTTTTTCTATATTTGTGACTAGGGCTCTCTGTTGGTATTTACTTGTATTTACATTTGATCTTGATTGTCCAATCCTCATGTATGGGTGGGTACAGTCACCGCAATTCTGGCACCAAAGGTTCATTGTCATCGTTATGGAACTGTTATTTCTGAAGTAGCTTGAATAGAAATATGAATTTTGGAGGTTCAATCCTACAACTTTCGCACCAGGGAGGGAGATTCGGACGCAGACAGAGTAAAAGAAACTGTGATATACGTTCGAGAGCTGCTAGTTCAGGATAGCGTACATATGTCAGCCCGACATTATTTGATGAGTTTTGCTGCTTTTCTATGAATCCATTCGTCCTTTCGCTTTTGCTGTTGACTGATGAGAGAGTATAAGAAATTGGTCCTTTCTTTATTTATTACTATAAGAATTGGTATGTGCATAGTTCCCAATGCTTCCATAGTTTCTTGTGGTCTGTTTCTCAAGATATTTTGCCCCTTATTAGGTATTTGTAGTTGTGTTTTAATGATATATCGAGAGAAAGACCTGCTGAAAGAATTTGGATTCCTATTTAGGTTTTCATGGTACGCGTCGGTTTTTGATGTGTATCAGAATATTCTGAGAGAGATGTTATTTTTCAGTACAATTTTAATTATTAAAACTCTGGTAGTGTTTTCAGAATCTGTCTCCATTATGGTCTATTTTATTTGCTGGGGATGTGCCAATAAACTAAAAAGTTTTTGGAGGGGTCGGTATAACAAAATTTGGGTTTCAAGCATCTTTAAACTATTTCATGAAAGGGATTTTTTTACAACCAAAGCATAACCTTTTAATTTAATTGATAGCTTCTATATACGCATAATATAAATACTTGAAGTCCCTTTGATCATATGTAAAAGCAGATGAGTGGAATAAGCAATGTCTTTTTTTAACCATTTTAATCTGTTCCATCTTGGTTTGTCTTCACTCTAATTGCGCTGTCTATCTTTAAATGACTATTGCAGTTTGTATGATGCTATAATTGGATTGGCTGATTTAGACAACACCGATAGTTTATTGTAATTCTGAGATCAAAATTCTCCCCACAACCTGATTACATGCCTATATCATAGTCATGACTCATGAATGATATATCCATTTCAATGTTTCTTGATGATGTATTTACTAGAAATAGTTCTTAAAACAGACCGATCATAACTCAAGTCATTACAATACACTTTACAAGTTTCCCCTTGATCAATTATGATCACTGAAGATAATCATTACTCTTTGGAAAGAGTAAAATCTGTGGGCGTAAAAGGGTTCTGTTGCTTTAAGCATTGACATTAAATTTGTTGTAAATCTTTTTCTTTATTTAGTGGGCTAAAGTGACCCCATGGGGCAATGAGGATTAATTGGTGAACTTTATTCAGAATACTCCAAGTGATATGCACATAATTTCACGTGATACTTTTTGATTGATGTGATACTATTATTCGAAAGGAGTAATTATTTGTGGAGTGCCCTCCTAAAGCTTCTTCCACTCGGAATGAGGGGAGATTTTTAGATATTACTAGGTTCTACTTTTTTTTTGTTTAGGAACCCCTATCTGTCTCATTCTTTTATGATCTTTTTGTTTATAATTTGATTTCAAGAATCTCTTGATATCACCATTATCTCCTACGTGCCTATGCTTTTATTGATAATGTTATATATATTCATTCTTTCACAAAATTTGTGTGTAGGCACACTATGTTGTACTGCTCTCTTCATTTAAAGAACAATTGCAGCAACATGTTCGTGTCCATGCAATGGAAGCAGTCATGGCTTGTTGGGAGCTAGAACAATCTTTACAAAGCTTAACAGGTAATCACTCATTTCTTTTTCCTTTCCTACATCTTTTTGAAATTTTTTCTGGAATGTTTGTGGAACATCACTTGTGCATTGCTTTTAGAGATGCAGAATATGCAGATGGACAATTAGGAGAAGCACATGTTTTTCTCTCTGTTTCTGTGCAGTAATTCATGTGTATGATTGTTGGTGATATATTTCTGTTTATGAGCAATGTACTTGTTCCATATTAGCCTCGCTTTTTAGTTATACTGCAAATTTAAACCATAGAAAAAAGGAAAGACAAGGAAAAATGGATTTTGTAAGCTATTCAAGTATCCTTTATTCCTACGAAATAGAACATGCTTCTCTATGAGAATTAATTGCAAGATATTCCAATTTTAGGTACGGTCTGAGTAATGCCTCTGATTGTTTGTGACCACAGTTGCCTAGTGCATTGCCAGAATCCATGTTGTATATTTGAAAGAGGTTGACCTCCTTGCTTCTCGCACGGTACAATCCTCTTCCCGCCGAGCCCCTTTTCTCCTCGGTCCACAGAGACAAAATGTAGGACTGGCGCCAACAGTTCATCACGGAAGAAAGGACTCACTAAGCTGCAGCCGTTGCTTTTCCGTTGACATTTACTTAACCTAACGTGTTTGTGGTGTTATTGGGGTATCAAGATAGCCAGACGCCTTCTTTTTCTCCTTGAAAATGTTGTTACTATAAATACCTTAATTACATGTTTCCTGAATAAAATTTTGAATTTTGTAGCCATGTAAATTAGTCATTAATTTTGATAAAGCAGTTCCTTCAATATTTAATTTTCTATGCTGTATGTACAGGTGTAGCACCTGGTGAGGGTACAGGTGCAACAATGTCTGATGACGATGAAGAACAAGTAGACAGTGACACTAACTTGTTCGATGGAGGTCTAGATGTTTCAGACAGCATGGGATTTGGTCTTCCTACTGAAAGTGAGCGTTCTTTGATGGAACGTGTTAGGCAAGAGCTAAAGCACGAGCTGAAGCAGGTAAAAGACACGGATTGGTCTGTTTGGCTTCTGCTCCTCTTTAATAGAGCTAATTGGATGTTTCTTGTCTTTAGGGGTATAAGGAGAAAATTGTGGACATCAGAGAAGAAATTCTACGTAAAAGAAGAGCTGGAAAATTGCCAGGAGACACCACCTCCCTCCTCAAAGCCTGGTGGCAGTCCCATTCCAAGTGGCCTTACCCTACAGTAAGCATCGATCCTATTGTCTTCTTACACTTGCTTATGGTTAATGCTTAGAAACCACAATCTCCCTTTCAATGAAGATAAAAATTCCTTTGGAGATGAGTCCAGAGTAATTTGTTTTTGATTAGGATTCTAATCACACCCACAATGGTAACGAAAGGAAAGTAAACACAGCATTACAAGTAGCCCACATTTGAGCTTAATTTTTGTTGGGAAATAAACATTTAAGAAAAGGTTTTTGTTGAATCAGGAAGAAGACAAAGCAAGATTGGTACAAGAAACAGGATTACAATTAAAGCAGATTAACAATTGGTTCATCAACCAAAGAAAAAGGAACTGGCACAGTAATCCTTCATCCTCGACGGCTGTCAAAAGTAAACGCAAGAGGTAATTAAGCTTCTAGTAGCAGTGATTTAGCTGCTGCAATGCAATATATAATCGAAATAACGTAATATTTGTGGTGAAAAGCAATGCCAGGTGAAACCGAAAAAGGGAAACATTAAATTTGTGACAGCAGAGTCGACAAGAAGTGGTCACTGCTGCTTGTTCTTGGTACAGAAAGAAGTAAATGAGGAGCAAGTTAAGAGCCACAGTTGTTTATCCTTGAAGTTGAAGGTATGCCCATATATATATATATATATATATATACACAACACTTGGTTGTTTTTCTATTTCTGAATCTAGTAATTTATAAGGTTGGTTCAAATAGACATGTAATATTTGGTACATCAATTTTGTTTATTTTTGTATTAGAATTAATACAGGTTTTGTATGTATAGTGGTAAACAGCAACACCTTCAAATGGTCTGTTTGTGTTGTGATATAGATCTCTGTCCATGAAGGGTAATGATGATAATAGTAATCAGAAAATAGACATGTTTATATGCATGGTGTGTTGAGACTGAAAATGTAGTAACATGCCATATCTAAATTGACTAGCTATACTGATTGCATTATGTATTGGTAGTAATTGACCATACGGTGGTGCCCCGCTTGATAATACCGTCTTGCATTGCATTTAAGGGGTTGTTTGGTTCACGTAATCAAAGGAATTATTTTGTAATTGAGGGTGACGACTCTTTCCTGTCAAGTGTTTGGAGTAAATTGTTGCATACGATATTGTTTTGATGGACTACAATCTTACCTGATAAAGTAAGTTTACGTATTGATTTAGTGTTTAAGTAAACTACTTAATTAATTAGTACAATTAATAGTATTATTTTTATGATATCCTTTTTGAATCAAATATTTTTATGATACTTTTGTTAACATGCTTTGGAGATATTCTTCTAAATATTTCCATAATATTGCATTAACAATTATAAAAATCCAAGGAGGAATAAAATTTCCTTTGTGGCCACGGAAGTTCAAATACAGTGACTTCGAGTTATCAGGTGGTCGTCTTGAGATTAGTCGGCTTACATAGCGGGTTGGATATCCAAGGTAATAAAAAAAAACAATTATAGTCAATATTTTGTATGTATATTTCTGAATATTTATTACTTGAGTTAAAATGTAAATTTGGTCTTTATAGTTCACCTACATTAACAAGTAAGGTCCTTAAAAATAATTACTAACGAGGGACATTCCTATAGTTTTATTTTTATAATGTAATAGTCCCTTCTATTAACTCTTTCAGTTAAGTTTCCATGGTGAGAGACAGTTTTATCTATTCACATTTCTCTCAACTTTTATTTTTAATAACGGGTTTGCTTTCTCAAGCTACCTTTTGTTTTATAACCGATTTGGTCTTGCAAACTACTTTTCATTGTTTTTTTTCTTTCAATTTTGGCCCTTTCCTCAATTTTCATTGTTAGGATTTGGTCTTTTACTTTAATCGATAAAATTTGGTGACACAAACATATATCTTTCAAATATAACGAACAAAATAATTAAATAAAATTTGAAACTTAGATTTTACCATAAAATATTTTATCTTTTCAAAAACATCAATTCCATGAACTTCTTTAGCTCAAATAAAATATAATTATGATAAATGTTTTATTTTAATTAGTTGAAAATTAGAAAAAGTTCTAAAACTGAATATCGAAATATATATTTGATAATAAGATATAAAAGTATTAATTTTGGGTAATTTACTAAATTACTTAAATGTGAATTTTTATATCTTATTATTTAATATATTATCAGGCATTTAGTTTTAAAACTTTTTTTTTTAATTTCAACTAATTAAAACAAAAAACTTATTAATATTATGCTTTGAGTTAAAGGATTTCATGAAATTAATATTTATGAAAAAATAAGGTATTTTGATGTTAAAATCTAAGCTTCATATTTTAATTAATTATTTTGCTCACCATATTTAGAAGATATCTGTTTGTGCCATCAAGTTTTATTAATTAAAGCAATGGACCAAATCCTAAAAGTGGAAGTGGGGTGAATAATCAAGTCTGTTATAAAAATGAAAAGTAGGTTGAGAGACCAAATATATTATAATGATGCAAAATGAGAATCGAATCTGTTGTAAAACGATAAAGTAGTTTAAGGGACCAAAATGGCAATTTCGTTGTTAAGTGAAGATTTGAAGTCATAAATCTAACAGAACATCCATATGCAAACCAAATAGCTACAAAGACTGTCACCAAACCAAAACAGCCCCTCTATATCAAAGACCAAAATAACTTAGGCAAGAATGTCTTTGATTACTGATGAAATTAGGGCAACTGCACGAAAGTGCTCAACGAGGATGAAATTTGCAAAGAAAGATTGAAGTTTATACTCATCGATACGGGGCATTGGATGAGATTGAGGAATTTGGTGAAGTAAAAGACATTAGCTTTGTTTGGATTAAACAAAAGAAAGAGAAAGCTCATAATTTTGAACATATTGATCAGCTTGTATCATATGACACTGAAGTGACATGATTTATAGAAAGGTTCAAGATCGAAAGGTTAATTGGAGTTGATATTAACGAGTCGTCGATATGGATCACGCTCAATGAGATCATCATCGATGATCCCCTCGCAAGAATTATCACCTTTCGCAACCCCTCGGCCTCTACCAACCTTTTCCAGCATTAGCTTACGGCATTTATCAACCGAAGAACGTCTACCATTTGACAGTATAATGTTTAATGAAGATATACATTTTGTAATAATTTACTGATAATAATTAATTTATTAAACGACTATTTTTCTGTTTGTGTTATATCTTTAGATCTCAAAACTTATCAGACTTCATATGTTAATAATGATTAAGATGTATCTGCATGGTTTACTTTGAGTTTATAGAATGGTCTTAGTTACTTACAAACTTATCTTAAATTATGGTATTTTTGTGTTTTCGTTGTATTTTGAGAGTTATTTTATGTTGAAATTGAGCATGGATGATGAGGGGTGTGCTATCTATTTCTTGGAGGTTGTTGTATGGTTGAATGGTTTTTTTTTTTTTTTTTTATTAACCTAGATATTCAACCTGCTATGCGAGCCGACTAATCCTAGGGCGACCACCTGTTTTGCAGATAGCCCGCAGTCATCGCATTTGAACCTCCGTGGCCACAAGGGGATTTTTTTTTCTTTTTGGATTTGAACGTGAGACCTCCTGGTACTTTTGACCTCTGGAGCCAAGCTCAAACCAATTGAATGGTAATTTCAAGTGTGAAGGGTTGCAGCTCATGTTTCTTCATTCCTGAGGGTTAGCAATGCACTTATGCGTGAACTTGAAGGGCCTTTTTGTAACTATGCCTTATATATGCATGATATATGTATAGACAAATTATCGTATGAGAATAAGAATTTAGGTGAGAAATGCAAGAAGGGATTTAAATCCTTGATTATTTTTAATCTCGAAACAACCCATGAATTATGCTTTAAAAGATAATTAGTTTAGTGTATCTCACTAGGATTGATTTAGTGGTTCTCTTCAATTATGATTGATCCAAGGGTGGAGATCCCTTCTCACCGAAATCCAATCTTGTATGTAAATATATATTAAAAAGCGGTAGATCTCAATTTCATTGGAGATCAAAGGTTCAAATCTCATTAAAGATGAAAAGTGCATGTAATTTTTATCGTAAATAAAAATTACATATTTAAAAGAAAAATGTGCAGCCGGGTCAAAAAATCCGGGTATGGAGCGGCATGGATAAAGACCGGATACCCGGCTTGTTTATCCAGTTCAATTTGGGCTGCTGCTTTAATTAATTATTTGTGTCTTCTGCTTAGATTGTCTCTGAGTGGGCTTAAAACAATTGCAGCCCAACCCATTTCATTCCATTAAGCTATGAGCCTATTTATATAATTGAAATGGTTTTATTGTTGTTTGTTAGCAATTTAATGAGATTCATACTTTATTTAGTTAGTTATATATGACTGTTTGATAGTGGCTTAATGATATAGAAAATGATTTATTCAGTAAGTTTGAGAGGGAGTCTCATGTAGAAAGACAAGTTTTTTTTTTCCTTCCAAACTTGCTCCAACAAATTAAAAAAACACGCTGATCTCATCTACGAATAAACCATCTCAAACAAAAACTTTATCAATCTATATAGGCCGATTAATCCATACAGACAGTTTTATCCATACATTACTTAATGTAAAACCAACCAAACATCCCATTACTTAATTATATCAAATTTGTGATAATATGACTTGTTAAATCTAGGTCATCTGGCCGTTAAAGCAACATACTTAAACAATCTTTCTAGAGAAAATGGGAAGGTAATTAATTACATTCTGGTAAAAGATCTACACCCAAGTTTCCAATTCTCTGTCAAATACGTCATTTTCATCATTCATCCATATATGCTCGTAGTAGTATTCAGCTAATGCCCTTTGATTTCAAATTAATGTTTCGACTTTGTTTGATTGGAGTGCAATTATAAAGATGTCAATTGCAGAGAAATGCTAGTTTTTACAGGTCGAAATCGGATTTTCCAGTAGCTTTTTGTCCATTCATATGAATGTCAAGCTCTTCTAAATCTTTTGGAAATGTGAAAAACAAAGTATAAATGAACGATAGATTCTACAAACCGTTTAATAATCAAAAGCAAAAAATGTTATTAACATATCCCGACCCTTGTAAACTTTATGTTCTATAATATTACTAGAAGCGTACTCGCGCAATGCAGCGAGATACAACGTGATTTTAATATTTCATTTTATTCTTTA